TCTTTTAGATGTAGTTCATGTTCACGCATAAGTCTGCGTTCTTCTCGTTCTTCTGCTGCTTTTCTTAATTGTTCTTCTTTTTCTTCTGCTGCTCTTCTTTTTTGTTCTTCTTTTTCTTCTGCTGCTCTTCTTTTTGTTCTTTTTCTTCTGCTGCTCTTCTCCTTTCCTCTTCTACCTTCTCTTTATGTTTTTCATCCACATACTTCCTTAACTCGTCGCCCTGAAGGCCCAATTCTTTACCAATGGCTACCCATTCCGCCATTTTTGACTTGTAGATGTATACAATATTCCTGTACGAATATAACAATTAGAAATGCGTTCACAAATATTACGCTTAATAGCAATACAATCACAACCAACAAAATTAATATGTGATATATAATCACTATGTTTAGCTGAGTAGTTTTCTACCTCTCAGAACAATAATATCAAACTATGAACTTAATTACTCAACTTTAAAAAAAAAAAATTACTATGGCTCCTATCGAGCTAAGTCACAGTCTATTCTACGGATCCTTCTTTTCGCTATAGCACCCTTCTCGTCTGTAACGGAAATATATTGAACGAGTCTCTTGTAGATCGTGTCGTGCAATTGAATCTTCCGGTTGGTAATGTCACTTCATTAATTGGCCACTACCCGTCTGAATTCATATTGCGGTTCATCATGGAAGTAGTGTACCTTTTTTTGAAAAATAGCGGCACTCGTCTATAAGTTGAACATGGGTGTCAATCTGAATAATTCATGGAAACTGACTGTCTGTTCTAAAGACTTGAAGGAACTCACAGAAAACTCTTCTGCACGTGTACTTGTTCTACCTGTGCTACGGATGTTCGTTTAGCGGTGTTCCGCTAGCTGCATGTTAGATCGGATATGTGGATATAAGTCGGCTGTCCGCTTGACCAATGTCACTCAGCTAGATGCCTTGTCTTAACACACTTACGTTATGTTAGCATGTTTAGTGATCACTGTACTTGGTGGCTGTTGCCCTTTGCAACTACTGTTTCAAACACTGGACTGATTGATGACTACTTTGATGTTGTAATACACAGTATAGTTGTTACGATCACACTGTAACAATACGCAGTATAATTGTTACGATCACACTGTAACCATGTGTAGTATAGCTGTTACGATCACACTGTAACAATACGCAGTATAGTTGTTATGATAACACTGTAATAATACGCGGCATAGTTGTTATGATGACACTGTAACGATACGTGGTATAGTTGTTATGATGATACTGTAACGATAACTAATTTCGACACGTTACCCAGTGGCGAATTTGGCCATCCTTACACAGGAAAACTGTATTTGAAATTTCTACACATTTTCTTGAGGTAAATTTCGACACAGCAACTGGTGTTACCACGGATGATGGCTGTATAGCGGCCTTGACCCAGTCCCCCACTTACGTCAACTCTGCAGCCCCGCTTTGAGCTTTGAAGTTTAACTGGTTCAACTGGCCGGGTTTTTGGTCACTACACTGACCATGTTTGTCGTTGCTTGTTCTGAACAAATAAATTTTGACTAACAACTGCTGTTACCTCAGACGATTACTGGAAATCGACCTTGACACAGAACGCCACTTACATTGACTGTTCAGCTTCGTTATTAGCTGTCGAGTTCAATTGGTCCAATCCGCTGTGTTTTCAGTGATGTTCCTGTTTATCTTCTGTCGTTGTTTTTTGTCCCGGATGTGTCCGTTTTAGAGCCTCCACTTGTAATGTGCTCATCTAGGGGCATGTGTTGTTTACATTGCTTTCAGACGAACAGTGAGTTGAAACGACACAGCATGAACGAATATTGAGTTCTTTGCTTTTATTCGTTGAATCGCCAGTTATCGCAAACATACATTCATGCTTCCTCGTGCTCGACTTGCTTGGCTGAATCTAGCGACCTGGTCGGACTTCCCACACACTCAGGAATTTATCAGCGTCTCTCGAACCATCCATCTATACTTCATGGACTCTGATATCTGACATTACGACGTATGGAAAAACATTCAGTCCTCCTATTGAAATATAACGTTCACTTCACAAATCATTTATTCTTCTCAGGCGTTCATTCACGCGTCCTCTCTCAGTCAGGGCAGAACTTCAACCGTCTTACTTCAGTCTCTCGGTTCACGTCTTCCGTTCACGTCTCATGCTTTTCTTGTGTCTCTCACTTCGTTTACCATGAGACACACGAGACTCACTTCTCCCGTTTTTCTCTTCTCTCACGGGTCCTCCGACCTTTTTCTCCCCATCGGGAACTCTCTGGGGTTTCAACGGGAATTCACAACATTACAGTCTACCTCGTGCTCTACGTCTTTTTTCTCTTTCCATGTATGCTTTGTATGGTTTGGTACTTAGTCCGTTTATATCTTATTGTGTTTTCTGTGGCGATATTAAATCCATTGCCGGCTACTTGAACACTGCAAGGATTAAACATACGATTCTACAAGCAGTTACTTAAACACTGCAAGGATTAAACATACAATTATACAAGCAGTTACTTAAACACTGCAAGGATTAAACATACAATTATACAAGCAGTTACTTAAACACTGCAAGGATTGAACATACAATTATACAAACAGTTACTTAAACACTGCAAGGATTAAACATACAATTATACAAGCAGTTACTTAAACACTGTAAGGATTAAACATACAATTATACAAGCAGTTACTTAAACACTGCAAGGATTAAACATACGATTCTACAAGCAGTTACTTAAACACTGCAAGGATTAAACATACAATTATACAAGCAGTTACTTAAACACTGCAAGGATTAAACATACAATTATACAAACAGTTACTTAAACACTGCAAGGATTAAACATACAATTATACAAGCAGTTACTTAAACACTGCAAGGATTAAACATACAATTATACAAGCAGTTACTTAAACACTGCAAGGATTAAACATACAATTATACAAGCAGTTACTTAAACACTGTAAGGATTAAACATACGATTATACAAGCAGTTACTTAAACACTGCAAGGATTAAACATACGAATATACAAGCAGTTACCTAAATACTGCAAAGATTAAACATACGATTTTACAAGCAGTTACCTAAATACCTAAGCAAGGATTAAACATACGATTATACAAGCAGTTACTTAAAACAAAACAAACAATGAATAGAAAGTTTGAAGGGTGGAAAGAAAAGACAACAGAACGTTTGTCAAGAGTCTTAATAAAATTTAAAACAAAAGATTAATTTAGCATGGAACCGAAAATACATAGCTATACAAAATATGGACGGGTCGAACCAAACAAAGCATTTAAGGAAGCAGTAGAAGGAGACTAAAATGTAAGAACTAATAATTAAATAAAACATTGATTCTTACAGGGCTGAGAATGCAAATACTATGAAGCGGTTTTCTAAAGAAATGCAGCTGATTTAATCCCCAGCAGCAAGAGTTATTGCAGTAACAGAGATGTCACATATATCACATTCATAGATTAAATTATTAATAAAGCATCGGAAAACAATGGAAGATAATAAATCTAATAACCTTCTTTTTTTCGGATCACCAAGCCCTCATGACAATCCCAGGCAAGAGCTACAAAACTCCTGTATAAACACAGAAGCGAACAACCCCCCCCCCCCCCACACACACACACATAAATACACACACCTACACACAAATAAAAATTAAAAAAAAAATGTTATAGAACTGTGACAGCAACAGACTGCAAGTATCCACAAAGCATAATGTCATCTAATAAGGAAAAAGATGGATGCAGAGATAGAATTTATGTGTAGTAAACAAATTAAATAACTTGATAGATGTGACCAGTATTTAAAAAAATTAACAACTGACACCAAAAAAGCTCTATTCAATACATTATGTTTACAAACATTGTGTTACCAGTACCAAAACATGGACATTAACAAGAAAAGGGAAAAGAAAAATCAAAATAGAAAGAAAATGCCACAGTTTAGTGCACAACAAAGAGCCCTGTAACTTATACACAAAGTAAGCAAGACTAGGGATCACAGCGGTGCAGCTTTTGGATTTCACCGAACACCATTTGTGATTCATTGAACGACAATTTTATCCCCTCCCCCTTTTCTCCCTCCCCACACCCCCTCCCAAAAAAATTATTCACAGTACCAAGCCTAGAACTTTTACTTCTAGAGTGAAATCAGTACGGCTAAATGAAACTCAAGAACTAAGAAGAATTAAACATGTTACTAATATATTTACAAACATTCACCAGCGGGTGCTTTTGCAGAGTAGAGGAATTTAAATGGTATGACAGGATCACTACGTGTAACACTAACAGTGTAAGAAAAGTGGGCGGTGGAAAAAAAAAGGGGGGGGGGGAGGTGCGGCGCTGGTGTTGACATGGTTGCATATAGAGAAAACCTGATAATAGTTACACTAGAATTTCCTGGCACTGGAACCCACACGGTCAAAGAAATGAAAGAAGAAAAAGACCACAAACACACACACTCGCTCACACACAGACAAACACACACACTAACACACATACAAATACACTCACACACACACTAACACACATACATATACACTCACACGCACACACAGACACACACACACTCACTCACAAGCAAACAAACACACACACACACTCACTCACACACAGAAGCACACACACTCACATACATACACGCACAATCACACACACAGACACACTAACACACACTCACATACATATACACACAGACACACACACATACATACACGCACACTCACTCACACACAGACACACACGACACACACACTCACTCGCACACAGACGCACACACAGACACACTAAAACTCACTCACATACATATACACACAGACACACACCACAGACACACACTCCCTTGGCACAAAAACACACACACTGACACACTAACACACACTCACATACATATACACACAGACACACACACTACACACACTCACACAGAGATGAGAGTTAGAGAATTTGTTGGACAAGCTAAGAAGGGCACTGCACTACTCAAAGAAGAAGTCCTTACTTCAAAAAATTTCTTGGCATCCTCACGAGCCCTGTCCTTGTCACAGTCGCCTTCATTAGATTCTCTACCGGCTGCCAGCAACGACACCAGCAGGCGGCGGAAGTACCCGGATGTGTCCCCACACAAGTCCTGCTCCAGGTCATTGCCGTACTCTGCGAATGTTTGAACAATAATCACTTAAACATTAAATACAAATGAACGAATGAATGAATCAAGAACTGACATACACTCGGGGCACATCCATGAGTGCTCTATTTCCTTCCTATGCCAACCAAGAGCCCATACTGACAAGCCAAATACAACCTATTTCCCCCCAAAATTATCAATTTTTACGCCCTCAGTCATATTGGTTGTATAGTGCTAGACCTATATATTCTAGACAATCACCAGGTGATATGGTCACCTTTACTTCCTAAGACTTTATCTGGTACCCATTTAAGTATGGGTCGACCTGAATGCCAATGTCCTTTTTGAAAGAAAGAACAATCCCACTCGATGTGCCTATTTGAACCTACGACCTCTGAGTCCTCAGACGAGCGTCTAGCCACTACACCACGGCAGTTCCCAAGTTACGAATCAGTTGTTGGAAACAATGACGCCCTGCTACTTGCTGCACTAGTCCTCATGTCTTCCCCCTACATGTTTAAAATCGTTCTGAAGCTTTGCTTACTCTCCCCTGAAACAGAAACTCTAGATATTCTTCTTCTCTCCCACCTTGTACCTCAGCGAAGGGAATGATGTAACATTCGGTGATGAGCTCTGTCAAGAGCACTATTTAGTCTTATGTTAATTTCTGTAAGGCGGTTCTTAATGCCACCACTCCATATTTTTCGAGGTCTTCCACTCGCTCTATACCCGTAGTAACGTTTTAATGACGCTCGCTGTGGCAGATAGTACCAGGGCAACCCTAGGTATGCATGCTATAAAATACGGTTGAATACATCAAAGGTTAACGTAGTCACACAGCAGACGCAGCCACTGCGATGTGAAATAATAGGCTTTCCCATATTCTAGGCAACCACATGTAGGATGAGGTGGCTAGTACCCATCCTTGTCAACTTTTCCTTCTCAAACAATTCTTAGAAAATAATTCTAGAATTGTTTAGTATCTAGTTTCATGAGGCTGGGTCTACCACATGGCTATGCTGGTGAAAAAAATCTTGCCACTTTGAGGTGGTTATCCCTGACCATTATTTCAGCAAGCAAGCTCACTGACCACTATGTCATTACTGCGATTTCACACGTTTATATTCATTATTTTAATAATTCAGCTTAAGCAATAAATAAAAGCTATAAATAAATATGTATACTAAAAAATTTCGTTAGCTATAATTTATAATATCAAGAATGGGAAGCATATTTTCTGAGAACGCCCAAGAGAAACAAAAACAAACATTTATCAGAGAGACAAATGTTTGAGGTTTGAACAACGGTGGCAACCCATGTGCTCCGTTCTTCCTCCAATTCAAGTCTGAGTCCTAAGAAGCTCAGCACAGTGCACTGGCTCTATAGCACCGGCGAGGATCCTATAATACTTTGGGTAGATTTTTAACTCCAAATTTGCCCTGGCAGCGCCGTTAGACTTTTCTTTTCGATTTCCAGCTGCCAAGGAATATTTTTTTTAAGTGCTCAACAATGCACACGGGTGTCCGATCCCACTACCCAGAGACCAGGGGGAACTAGTAGAAGACAAAAGGATGGACTAGATACTATCCATGATATCTGAAAAAGATTGTGCACGATAAAAACTGTTGGACTGCGAGCCCTTTCTGACAGCGCGGGAAAGTTGGAGGTCAAGAGAGACAGAGGCAGACCAAGAAAGAATATGCTGAACAGTTTTACACCAAGACATGGAAAATCATATGTGTCGGAAATGGTTGACAGTACACGAGACAGAGTATGTGGAGACACTTTGCGGTGCTTTAATAATATTCTACCCCAAACAGGGGAAATCCACAGGTCACGGGACATTCTAATATTTCAGGGGGTGGTAAATAGGCTGCAGGCAGTCGTTGGACTTAGGCTGCACTCTCTCGTGGGACGTAGGTGGGTTGTAGTTAGGACCAGTTCTAGATGTTTTGGGGTTGTTAAAAGCATCAGAAAGCCGGGAAACCCAGTCTTACTACCCTCTAAAATGTTGGGCTACCATGTGACGTCATCTGGGGGTAGAATAAAAATAAAGCACCTATTTGACTACCAGAAACATGTAGTAAGGATCATAGGAAGAAGAATGTATGAAAACATTTACAATTTTCATATTTTTCTGGAACCTGGCAATAAGTGCGACTGATACTTAATATTCTCAGTTCTAATCTTCTTAGTTATTTGTAACTAGCTGTACCTGGCCACGCGTTGCTGTGGCGCAGTCTGGCGAAATAGATAACAAAGAAATAGAAAGTGCACTATGGTTAATATCGCAATCAATGTCTGCGCGCCAGGTCGACCCAGCCTTGAGTGGGTACTGAGTGCAGTCCCTGGAAGTAAAGGCGACCGGTGTGATGCTGGCCGCATCACCCATCTTGTGCCGATTAGTCTATAAAATATAGGTCTAGCCCTATATGCCCTATACTCATGAAGACGTGGAAAAGGGTCCTTTACTTATTTACTTTACTGGTTCGCCGACTCTAGAACACACAACATATAAGCAGGTCTTTATCTTAGTGATGGTTTAAATTGTATTATTAAGACTTTACAAATGTTTTTTGTTCTTCACACGCGAAAGCTTCTTTTTAAACAGCTGAAAGTAAAGCTTACTTCTGTACTTCTAAATGACCAACAAATACGAAAAACAAAACCGAGAATAGCAGCTCTCTCATTTAACAGTGTCAGTCATCAACCCCCCCCCCCCCTTTTTTCCCTTCCCAATCCACTGACTACCCCTTTCACCATCTTCGAAGTACTTGAAATTCATCACCACGTCGTACTTTTTTTTTTTATATTTAGGTTTATAGGTTGTTGATCATCGTCTTGTAAACACAGCGTGTCGCTGAATCACCTGTTATTGACTGATCAGCTCCCTCCACCGTTGACGTTCAGATACAATCACTTATAGTTGCATGCCTAAGGCCTATCTATGTTCTGCATCCCAGTATTTCTTGGTTGGTCTCTTCTCCTCTATTGCGATCTTTAATAATATTTTTGAGAGGCCAATAGATATTATTTTGTGTCCGTACCAGTGCATTTTCCGTATTTCCATTGTAGTTAAGACAGGTTCATAGTTGCCAATGTTCTGGTTATTTATACGGTGAGCCTCGTCGTTTATAATGCGGTCTCTGCATGATATGCTCCGAATGTTTTGGCAAGATCTAATTTCCAATGCTTTCATTTTCTTTTCAAATTTAGATGAACTGCTAAAAATTTTTTTCCTCACAAACTGAACTGAAATTGTCGTAGACTGTCCTTAAGTAGATGAAACAGAGACCTGTGTGTCTGTATGTTTTTCTCCAACCGGCTGCTCTGAGAAAGTTGATCCCTTTTACCTTTTTAAAAGTCACATACTGGATGGCAATCAAACATGGTATATCTTAGATACCTTGTTCAACCTCCTAAAAAGTTATAATTAGGGCACATACATCAGCAACATCAAGTGCTACCCAGATGCACCCTACTGTTCAAAGCAGGTAAAAATACACAGGTGAGAATAGATTTCCGCTGAGCGTTCATACTGGTTATTGAAACAAGGTTCATGGTGATACGATAATAGACTAGCGGGAAAGGCCAGTTACCTTGTTTGTAGGCTTCCTTGATTTGCTTGATCTCTTCATTAGTCTTGGTACACAACACTTCGATAATGGTGGTCTCGTCTGTCCCTGCCCCCTGCCAAATGAAGTAAGTAAAGTAAAGAAAAGATCCCCTTTAACGCCTTAGGCATAAGGGAAGAGCATCCCATATTTTTACAGACCTAAGTGGATATTTAGCATTACGCCAGCCGTCTTTACTTTCCCACGACAGCCATTCTGGTTCCAATTTTACGCTGGGTCGACCAGCGACACCATATAGCATGTTAAAACTCCACGCAGCCAGCAGTGGGATTCGATCGCAGTACATTTGAATTACGAGGTAGAATTCGTGAACACTACATTATACTTCGACTAGACGCTCGCTGCTGATCGGAAGGTCGTGGGTTCGCTCCCTGGGGGATGCTGACCACATCACCCATCTTGTGCCGATTGGTCTATAAAATATAGTTCTAGCCCTATATGCCCTATACGCCTAAAGTCGTGGAAAATGGTCCTTTACTTTACTCACTTTACTTACTTATATTATTCCTACTTTCTCTTTATTTACATTACATCGTAACTGCTACACATAACATATGTAATTTGAGACAATGTAAAAGCAATACCTTTTTTTTTTTTTTTTGTGTGGTAACAGTTATCATCACTTATCTCATTGATCAAAATGTGTAATCGTAAACTGAAATGAGTACTGGACGAGTGGATGTCAATCCTGCCTAACTGCCAGTTACTGCATTTGTTTACCACTTTTTAGGTGTAGACGGGGGGTCTTTGAGCCTGAGGATTTGTTTGTTTGTTTGTTTTAGTATCCAGAAGCCATGAGTTGTTAACCCTTAAGCTCGGTATTATGGATATCGCAATCTTTCGACATTGATTCTATTGTAAATACCGTAAATCTGGGAGAAATGTGGCTTTTCTGCCTACCCCCGGGAGTGAAACCCGACCACAAGGAGTTCGTCACTTGGTCACCGCGCAATCCGGTTTGGCCAACTACGCTAGAGTGCCAGGATAGCCTGAGGATTTAAGGCCGCATAGCTTGTGCTGTCGCCACGACTGTTCAGGTGAGGATTTTATTTTGCCCTGACAGAAAAATATCCCTAGCCTTACCGAGGATTCGAACCCGGGTATCCCATATGACAGCCTAGCGACTAACCGTTCGGCCAGCCGTTCCTCGGATGTCAATACGACAGGGCTTATTCCACTACCCTGTTAAATTTCTAAGGAAGTTACAAAATTAGTGAACTTGCAACGGAGACACCATGTGCTATCCTTGTATAACTTGTAGTACTATGTGCTGGCGAAGTAGAGTACTACTAGAACTAAAGAAAACCCCAATAGCAAGTATCTCCCCTCCCCCCCCCCCCTCAACCTGCTAGAACAGTGTGGAAAAAAATGAGAAACTTGTCTCAAACTTACACAGATGGCATCATGAAGTTCACGAGCATCTAGTACCCTCAGTGGGGTTAGCAATGCAACACAGACCTTCTCGAAATCTCCGGTTAGCTCCGATTTCAGATCATCGATCAGGTCCTGTGGAATGTTATACATGACTGTGACATGACAAGTGATTAACTGATTAAAAACGCATACGTTTACTTCTGTACCCCAGTTACCTTTAGTTTGATGTGATTTATAAGCTTGGTAGGAAATATGGTATAGCACTGGCTAGTATGTCAAACAGTGGACGCACGTGGGGAATTCCAGCACCCCCTAGTTTCACTCGATATTACGTAACATTATCCATATCATAACTTTCAATATAGTAAGTTTTTTTTTTCTTTAATTCTTTCTTTATACTAGTAAATGTAATTTTTTTTTTCATGCTTATTGTCAGTAATCCTCCCTTACATGGAATAGTAGGTGTCACAGTTCCAGCAACGTGATGTTTGACAAGTGCGCGCAATAGCAAATGTCTTAGATAGAAAGCTGAATATGAAGTAGAGGGGGCACAGTCGCAAACGTTTCGCTGGCTTTATTATATCAATCGTTTTGTAAATGAATGGATCAAACTTGAATGATAACAATTTAGGCTGTTAGTAAGTAAATTTTTCTTTTCTTAGGATTTCATGAAGTTTAGGTATACATGTTCTTTTTTTATGTTTGGGCAATTTTACACAATATTAAAGCCTTAATTCAACATTTTCTGAACCAGTACGATAGCTATTTTTAGCTACTGGCCGCCACTGACCAGTCTACATATCCAGTTGTCATGAGTTCGAATTCACATTGAGACATGTTTGCAAAACTGATTTGGGCTCCAGAAGAACCAAGCCTAAATATAGGCACCAGAAGATGTCCCATAATCATTGCCAAAATCGTCAGGATATAGGTTTGAGTCCACAACCCTCAGCCGACATTGACTTTATATTTATTGTGGAGATAATTGCTATGTACATTGTATACACACATTCTTCTTTATTATGTACATTATATGCACATATGAATATTTAATACATGCTACTCCTTAAAAGTCAAGGGCCACAATATTACTATTTAGTACATTTTTTAAAAAGCGCCTCATCATCATCATCATGTAGCAGGTTCTTTGCAGAACATCGACTAAAAGAAACTCGGTCTCTCGCCAGCTTTTCCGCCTCATGTACTTCCATTTTCTAGGAGTCACTTATACTATAAGAGCATTGAATGATTTAATTTTTGTTTCATTTTGTTATTCAATAAACGCCATTTTCACTGAAATTACGTACGCTTATATCATATTTGTTTTGTGGTTTTAGCTAAGTTTTTAAGTGGCCATTGACTGAACTGAATTTCTACCCCACCAGGACATCACACGAGCGATAAACACCCGATGACACAAAGTGCCACCATGTGGATGAGGATCGCCGTGGAGAGGTCCCAGAAACCGCGTTCAGACATTTGGCCATATATATGGCCTGTCTATATTGCGGTCCCTGACAAAAGCCAGAGTGGGGCTTCAAATGACAAAAAAATTCGTCCTAAAAAGGACGAAAATGGATATAATGGCCATTGACTTTTTGACGAGTAGTATATTGCCTTCTTCTTCTTCGTGAAGTGTACTTACATAAGTTTCCCATGACATAAATCTAAATCAAATTTCCACTTTAGTAGATCAAAAATGTTAATGCATTACTTCAAAATCTTGCAATGATTAATATTTTTTAATGTTTATTGTCTTTGTAAGCCATTTTGAACGTATACTTTGACAACATAAATTCTTGGGGGAGATTCTTCTTTATCTCTAACAACTAACATTACTACTTCATTAATGTAGCTCTTGGTATGGAGCTTAGTGACAGCGTTTCGCTATTTTCGCCGTACCCAGACTGAAGACAACATATACCTACTACAAGCAAACTGAGAGGTGAAGACGACAGATCAAATACTTCACTACCTTCCCATAGGCTGTCTTGTAAGCTTTGGCAATCTCCAGTCTTTGGTTGCATGTGTGGTTCCCCAGTACGTGTATGATAGCTTTCTCATCAGTACCTGCTCGAGTGACATACATCTGTCCTTTTACAACATATTCTGTAATTGGTAATGAGCTAAAATACTAGCTGTTTGTAACTGCTAATTTTCTAACGATCGTCCTGCCTCTCGGCAGATAGAGATTTCTGTACCTGTCTTGAACACCCTTGAAGTTCCCGCGTGTGAAGGGATAAACAAGAGCTCTGTATCACAGTTTTAGCTGAGATGTCACTATAGCATGAACGGACTCCAGAACAAGGAGGATTAGCCAATTAAGTCCACTCCTCCCATTCCTTCCTCAGGGAAAAATTTTAGTGGAGGTGAGCAGCCCTACACAGTTAGAAGAGGGAGAGAGAGGGGGGGGGGGGAAGGTGTTAAGTGGACACCCCCCCCCCCCACCTCCTACCCATTCCCAACATAGCATTTATCTTTTTGAAAATTGTCTTTATACATTTAACGTGACTGGATGTGACACCATGGTATTATTATTATTATACTCTTAAATAATGCTTAGATTTTCGTGTTTCCCCCTTTTATAACACCCTTGTTTACTTATAAGTGGGCTGGGCGCATCTAGTGTTTTCTTTGTGTCAGCGTCGCTGTTAGAAAACCAGGTGACGAAAAAAGACTCATACCAACTTCCCTTAATGTAGAAATAATGCACTGTTAGGCGTTATTTTCTTTCCTCAAAGTTGTAATAATAATAATAATAATAATAATAATAATAATAATAATAATAATATCTTACCAGAGCCACACATGACTTTCATAAAAGTTATAATTATAATAATAATAATAATAATAATAATACAAATATCTTACCAAAGCCAAACATGGCTTTCCTCAAAGTAATAATAATAATAATAATAATAATAATAATGTCTTACCAAAGCCACTCATGGCTTTCCTCAAAGTCTCAGCTACTGCTCCAGCATCAAAGTCATGGCGATGGCGAATGGTACCCTGAGATCCATGTTTGGTTGTCAGCGGAAATGAGACAATAAATATCACTCTGAATATCATTGCAAAATCGATTATGTTGCCGAAATTTACATAGACTAAGAGAATGTTTTACTAACAGTCTGTCTTTTTTAGGCATTATGTTTTCAAACCTCTGTAATCACAGAGACTGATTAGTGTTTATCGCTGAGAATTGAATTTTATTTACCATTACCTTTTAAGGCTCAGATGTTTAATCATAAAGACCGCTACACCATCTACCCTTAAAACAAAAACAAAAAACTCCTAATAATGGCACACACGATTGCAACGTGAATATTTATTATTTAATCATCTTTGATGAGTCCACAGATTCGTCTAAAGACTGTTTTCTGAAACCTGTAAAAAAGGCTTTATCTCTTTTAGTTGTGCTCCATGCTTTAGAGTCCTATAAAACGACTGGTCTTATCAATGTTTTATATATTTAGGTTTTGGTGTTGCGAGACAGACACTTTGACTTTAAAAGATGTTTAATGGCATAGTATAAATTAGCACATTTATTAATTAACTAGACTAGAAGATTACTTTCACAACAAGATATCCAAAACTGTTACATCTATTGTTAATGTTTGCTTTGAAGTAATTAATTTGAAGCCAATTATTTAGATGAAAATTTTTAAAAAGAAGAACCATTACATGAATAAATAAATTATCATGTAAGAGAAAAAAAAACTAAACAAAAGTAAACATAACTAAATTTGTCAGTAAAATGTCGTATACCAGCAACATCAATACATACACCAAAACAATTTCAGCCCATAACAACAACCTTACTACACACACGCAAGTGCCGTCTCACTCTCATATTAACAATATTTTTATGCATATTAATATTCCCCCCCCCCCCATGCCAACTCCATATCTGCCCATGTCAACTCCATATCTGCCCATGCCAACTCCATATATGCCCATGCCAACTCCATATCTGCCCATGCCAACTCCATATCTGCTTATGCCAACTCCATATCTGCTTATGCCAACTCGAAATCTGCCCGTGCCAACTCCATCTCTGGAAATGCGAACACCATCTCTGGACATGCTAACATCACCTTTGCCCACATCACTTACAGTTTCGCGTACGAGAAAATACAAATGCAGAAGCCAATTACTAAAGCATTTCTACCCGGTAATCAAGCAATGACGTAAGAAAGGACACCTCTCAGTCTATGAGACATTGTGTTATATTATCCAAACCTGCATGTCACACACATAAAACCAGTGAAGTACATTCGTAATCATGGTAATGAGATATCTTAGAAATGCAGCAGTAGTCAACAGATGAGATAAAATCAGGTATGAAACCACAAGAGGAAACGCCGGCACAAAAATACTTATAACTTGCATACAAAGAGAGTGAATAAAATGTTTTGTCCACTTTTAATGCGTATTACCAATCAGTGAATTATGTATCAAAAGAAGAAAAGGACTTAGACCAACAGGTAGACCAAAAACAAGATGGAAAGATAATATGAAATAAAATAAAACACTACGCGTCTGTTGTCGATGTGGTCAAAGAGCAAGAAGCAGAACGTTATGTATCCTTCGACAGCCGAAACAGTTTTTTAAAAATAAGGAGGAAGAGGAGGAGGAAGAAGAAGCAGAAGAAGAAAAGGAAGAAGAAAAAGAATGATAATAATAATAATAAGAAGAGGAGGAGTAAGAGGAAGAGGAAGAGACAGAAGAACTTTAATATTTACTTATATCCCCTCATATAATTTATCAAAGCTAATACCAGTCGTAAGCAAGTGGCATTCATAAAGAAATTAACCCGTGTGGGTTCCCAGGCCCTGTTATAGGGAAAAGAAGAATAGACCCACTGCCTACCCAAAAGCATGTCGTAAGAGTCGACTAATTGGGAGCTTCCTTCGAAGTCGAAGTGCATCTGCCTGAGAGGCAAGGAACCAGCAGCCTGCATACAAATGAGTCAGATCTGTCAAACGGATGCACACGCAACACTCAGGTTCTGGAACAGGACTGCCGTCCAGAAGTGGATAAACAACCAGAACTTTCCTCCAGAGTTTACAGCTGGTGAACGAGAAGAAGATAAATAAATTAATGAGCAAAGTAACCGGATAGGAAATATGCTCACACGTAACTACTTATTTCTGAATTTTGGGACAAAACGAAGGGTGATAGATGTGTAGGAAATGCCTAAGAATCTGTAAATAATTAAGCAAGCTACATCAAAAATTATTTAAAAAAAAATTGGTTTGATAAATGTAAACAGACGTTATGTGTTGAAGCAGCAGAAATTGCACACTGGTGTTAATGATAATGATGGCGACTATGGTTATAATTATGATGACATAACTACAAAATTAAATCCTTCGAGAAAGGGCCACAAATATTCTGAGCAAGAATTATTGTCTATAGATGCTAAGTAAATGTTGTTTGCTGCAAACATAAAACCTCGTCCTGAACATATATATGGTACGAAACTTTAATATCCGGCTTCCCCATGAGTAGCTATATTTTTGTTTTAAACGCCTTATTGTAAGTGTGTGAATGTGTGTGTCTGTGAGAGAGAGGGAGAGAGAGAGAGAGAGAGAGAGAGAGAGAGAGAGAGAGAGAGTGAGAGAAAGAGTGAGAGAGATAGACAGATATATAGACAGAGAGAGAGAGAGAGAGAGAGAGAGGGAGAGAGTGTGTGTGTGTGCGTGTGTGTGTGTGTGTGTGTGCGCGTTCAAACACCTTCTTATTAACTTAGGAAATAGCCCTTTAGTTCAAGTTTTTCCAACTGTGTAATTACGGTTTCATGTTGACCTTGATTGTTCACAAACATGGTAGTCCTCTAATGAGTTTTCCGCTCAGAGTCAGTGTTGTATATAGCTCTGTAGATATCTTAGTCGAAAAGTTCATTCATATTTGTAGGCGTCATTTCCACTCCCTGTGTTGAACTTTCTGGTCACAGTGTTTCTTGTACTGAGTGCTTCTTAGTTTTATGTAGGTAGGCCACTGACTATTGTCAAAAATATTCTGTTGTTCTTTCGTTTCTTCTTTGTTTCCTTACACGTACTCGTGTTTCATATTTCCTTTCCAATTTTTTCATTTCGTGACTTTCACGTCCTTAGTTATAATGTAGGATTCCTGTAGTTTTGTATTCGTTGACATAAACCTTGGTCGGAATGTGCTGTAATATCCCTGCACGTTGGTATTTTTTTCACCCCACCTTCGCTTAGCTTCCAATCACAATTTCCGTTAATTAAAAACAAAAATGAAACTACATATATTTTCAGATTGCAATCTGTACGTTTCTTATCTTTCGCTGATTTCCCTTATATTACCAGTAATATAACGAACGAAGTCGACTAATTTATATAGTGTTAAAATTTCCAACAAAGGCTAAAACTATGTCATTTTATTCAGGATGATTTATACAAAAAGCCATTTTACATCTGTAAGAAAGAAAGATTAAATACATCCGGTTATTTAAAGCATAAGATATAACGCGTCTAAGAAATCATTTTATGCTATAACTCTTAATCAAAACTTAGAAGGTTCTGATAGAAATGATTGCGTGCTACATTCAGTGTAAAATTGTATTGATATAAGTAAGAGATACAACTGCCACTGTATATGCAAATTATAAACCGTAGAGTTTATTAATGCGTTTTTTCTTTTTATTGCGCCATTATTTTGTATATAATCCAGCTTACTTACCCTCATAGGGCTGCCCTGTCATGACTTCCTTAAGGATTAAACGGGGTATCTGAGATCCTGTTGGTCTGCCGTCTGAGATTTTCAAATCACAGGATAGTATAGTAAGCCTTCAGGTAGAGACAAACTGATCGATCGATCTATAGAATCAAATCATGCCGACCAGTTCGAATCCATAACCAGGTGGACTGTTTATAACTGATGCAACTCAGCCTAAAATAGGCACCACGAAGGTCGAGGAGTACAACTGGCCGGCGTTGTGTTGGCTATATCCACCGAGTACCCAGTGGTCTAAAAAAGTATATCCTACAGTCCGTTCCAGAAGTCTTGTTCAATACTAAAAGTCTGCATAGTCCGTTCCAAAAGTCTTGCTCAACATTAAAAGTATGTACAATCCGTTCCTGAAGACTTGCTCAACATTTAAATTCTGCATAGTCCGTTCCAGAAGTCTTGCTCAACATTAAAAGACCGTATAGCCCGTTCCAGAAGTCTTGCTTTATATTAAAAGACTCTATAGTCCGTTCGTGAAGTCTTGCTCAACATTAAAAGACCGCATAGCCCGTTCCAGAAGTCTTGCTCAACATTAAAAGACCGTATATGCCGTTCCAGAAGTCTTGCTCAACATTAAAAGACTCTATAGTCCGTTCCAGAAGTCTTGCTCAACATTAAAAGACCATATAGTCCGTTCCAGAAGTCTTGCTCAACATTAAAAGACCGTATAGCCCTTTCCAGAAGTCTTGCTCAACATTAAAAGACCTATAGGCCGTTCAAGAAGTCTTGCTCAACATTTAAAGACCGTATAGTCCGTTCCAGGAGTCTTGCTCAACATTATAAATCTGTAAAGCACGTTCCAGAAATCTTGCTCAACATTAAAAGTATGTATAGTCCGTTCCAAACAGTCTGTATAGTCCGTTCCAGAAATCTTGCTCTACATTAAAAGTCTGTATAGTCCGTTCCAAAAAGTCTGTATAGTCCGTTCCAGAAGTCTTGCTCAACATTAAAAGACCATATATACCGTTCCAGAAGTCTTGCTCAACATTAAAAAACTCTATAGTCCGTTCCAGAAGTCTTGCTCAACATTAGAAGTCTGTATAGCCCGTTCCAGAAGTCTTGCTTTACATTAAAAGTCTCTATAGTCCGTTTCAGGAGTCTTGCTCAACATTAAAAGACTCTATAGTCCGTTCCAGAAGTCTTGCTCAACATTAAAAGACCTATAGCCCGTTCCAGAAGTCTTGCTCAACATTAGAAGTCTGTATAGCTTGTTCCAGAAGTCTTGCTTTACATTAAAAGTCTGTGCAGTCAATTCC